CATCCTATGGCTTTGATGATATGTGCTGGAGTGTTATTGGAGGAGGAAGATGAGGCTGCCCCTATGCGCAAAGAGTGGCCTGAATAGTGATTTGAATTAAGGCCAAGTCTAGTTAATAGCATGCAAACGTACAGCCATAATTTGGACATAGTGAGTTTGGAACCGTGCTGAAGTATGTGTCTAAAACCAGAACTAGGCACCATTTGTTGTCAGTAGAGTAGAATGGTATATTGACCAGAGGTCCCATTTGACTTGTTTTAGAATGGTTTAGTGACATGATGTAGTGATCCCTCGTGACAGAGGTGAATTCCCTTGGTCTTAGGAAACCGTAAAAAGGTTAGGTATATGGCTGTTTTGAGTACCATATTGGTATTTGGTTCGAAATGAGAAGTATCTCATAAATTAGATAGGGATTGGAATAGTTTACCTTAAATGGGTAGTCTCTAGACATGTGCATTTGTTTTCGTATGAATACGATTTTGTCCGAAAATTCAGTTTTTTCATATTTGTTTACTAAAATGTAAATGAAAGCCCTACAAACGAAATATAAACGAAAAGAAAGGGCAAATGCAGAATGCATTACCTTTTTTTTTTGTTTCATTCATTTAATAGACTCAGTGCTGCAGAGGAATTAACCCCCACAGCACAGAGAAATAACAGTGCGCATGTGCGAAAAAAACAAAACAAGGAAGGAGCCGACAGCGCTACCACCTCCCTCCTTGTAATAAATATTAATTCCAATCCTCCACACCCCTGCATTAAAACCTATGTGGGTCCCTATGACCCTATTATCCCGCAATCCACGAACCAGTTTAGTAGTCCTTCTCTGAACCCTCTCTAAGGTATCAATATCCTTCTGAAGTTACGGTCTTCAGTACTGTGTACAATAGTCCAAGTGAGGTCTCACCAGTGTTCTGTACAATGGCATGAGCACTTCCCTCTTTCTACTGCTAATACCTCTCCCTATACAACCGAGCATTCTGCTTGCATTTCCTGCTGCTCTATTACATTGTCTGCCTACCTTTAAGTCATCAGAAATCACTTTCCTCATATGTTGAGATTAGGACTCTATCAAATATTCTGTACTCTGCCCTTGGGTTTTTTATGTCCAAGATGCATTATCTTGCACTTATCCACATTAAATGTCAGTTGCAACAATTCTGACCATTTTTCTAGTTTACCTAAATCATTTGTCATTTGGCTTATCCCTCCTGGAACATCAACCCTGTTACATATCTTAGTATCATCAGCAAAAGACATACCTTACCATCAAGACCTTCTGCAATATCACTAATAAAAATATTAAAGAGAATGGGTCCAAGTACAGATCCCTGAGGTACCCCACTGGTGACAAGTCCAAGCTTCGAATATATTCCATTAACTACAACCCTCTGTTGCCTGTCACTCAGCCACTGCCTTACCCATTCAACAATATTGGAATCCAAACTTAAAGATTGCAGTTTATTGATAAGCCTTCTATGTGCAACAGTTTAAAAAGCCTTACTGAAATCTAGGTAAGCAATGTCTACTGCACCACCCTGATCTATAATTTTAGTTACCCAATCAAAAAAATCAATAAGATTAGTTTGGCATGATCTCCCTGAAGTAAACCCATGTCCCGCATGCCCCTACTCGCGGTATGCAGCAAGTAGAGGCATGTCGCCTAAACAGCAAGCAGCAAGTATCTTATATAGAAGTGATAGAGCACTACGGTAAGAGTACATGTAACCAAAAGTTATAGTAAAAACTATAACAATGTTGCAATATGAAAAAGTAGCTATTTAGATCTAAATAGCTACTTTTTACACATACTTTTACCATACTCTTTACACTTCTATACAAGATAAAACATTTTTGTAAATTACATTTTATTGAGGTTTTTCTGTTTTGTTGGATTCCGTTTTTTTCGGTTGTCCTTTATGGACCATGAAGTGGTACACACAGGTACCCGTAGCTGTAAGATAGTGTATAGATTGTGCATGCAGGCACTCATTTTCATCAATATCATGGTGTATTGGTACTCACAGGTATTTTAATAGTGATAAACACAGTATTAATGAATACGCAAATCCCTTCAGGGTAATACCTGTAGCAAACAAACATCCAAAATAACTGATTCAAGAGGCTGTAAGCGGTGCCTATGTCTGTGTACCGTGCACCGCCGAATGTCAGGACAGCGCGGGACAGGTGTCCGAATCATGCTAGTTCCGAGTGGGAGCGCCTCCTGGGAAACTATCCTACCAACTTCCCGGGCATGGGCACTCCCCTCCGGCTGCGGTCCTGAGTCCGGCTTAGGGTATTCACGTAGAGGGACGGTGGAGAGGGATGATCCGGGAGTCATTAAATCCAGATTGCCATGTATGTCTGGGTCTCACCTTTAGCTAACATGGTGAGCTCCTCCATTGTGTGTAGCTCTTCCATGCATTGGAACCAGGTGATCATCGGGGTTGGCCTCTCCTGCCTCCAATAGAGGGGGATCAGGCCTTTTGCTACATTAAGAATTCTGATGGTGAGTGATTTCTTGTAGATCGATGTGCAGAGTTTGGTGTAGTGTAAGAGTAGTGTGCTGGTTGTCAAGGAATTTCTGTAATATTTTGTGGATTGTGGTCCAGTATGGTTTTATCAGTTGGCAGTCCCACCAGATGTGTAGTAGTGAGCCTGTGACCCATTTGCATCTCCAGCAGCAGTCAGTGGTCTGGTCAATGCCCCTTTAAAACTGTGTCCCCAGGCTGCGAAAATACTTTGTTTGTGTTCTTTTCTTATATAGTTCGGTAAAGGGGGCTTACCGAACAAATTACCGAACAGGCAGACTACACACAAGTGGAGTGTGCCGCCAATTTACCTCCCAGGTTGGTGGTTAACCGCAAGTTAATTGTCGAATGCTGGGTGGCCGCCGTTCGTACAGTCGAACACGTGGTGGCGACCATCTTGTTTAGTCGAACGCAGTCAGCGGTGTTTTGCTGCAAACTCATGGAACTGAAATCGCCTACACGACGGCTCGAACACCGTTGAACCTTACTCGGAAATCGAAGTGCGTTCGACTATTCGAACGCACTTGGGCTATTTTCACGAACGACACCCATTCGTGCATTCGAATGGGACTTAGTATTTTTTCTATGTGAAATAGACCGACCGCACAGCCCAAATCTATGGAACTCTTTTGGGCATGAAAGCCATGCTTGCGGTCGGTCAAATAGGACTTCCACCTATCTTTTGAACCACTGGCCCAATTTATATGATTTTTACATATGTTGGTATACTGATTATGCTGGTTCAGAATATATAACTTATATGTGAATTGTATGTATGGTTTGGAAGTTATAAATATTGTGTAAAACTGTATATTTTCTGCCTGTGATAATTAAGTTAACCCTTTGTGTTCAGTTATTATATCACAGGCAGAAGGGAGGGTTTGTGCGCCTTAACTGGGAGTGTCTGACTGTACTGTAATGTTTTGATTGGCTATTGTAACTGCATGTCCTGTGTACCACAAGGTCCACGTGGGTGGTAACCTTGTGGTAAAAATTGCGCGTTGCCCTCCCGTTAGGGTCTGTGCTGAGGGAGAGAGTATAGTTGTGAGTAGTAGTCATGTATTGTCTTGGCTATGTCAGGCGAAAGATATGTCAGCTTATTGTCGGCCCTCCGTATCTTAGGAACATAGGCTCTCTTTTTGGCGATCGTGCGAGCCAGTAATGCTGTGCATTTGTTCGCATTTGTGTGGAAGAATACTTTCGTTTGGAGGTATTTCCATTGGTAGGTGGTGTTTAATATGGTGGAAGGCTCTCGTCTCATGGTTGTCAGTTTGGTCCAGTCCGTTGGGAGTTGTGTTTGTGTCTCTCCTCTAGGGTCTGGATCTCCTGTAGTATGGTCGTGAAGGGTGCTGCTCTCTCCTTTTTCATTGCCGGCCCCCTCGCTATGAAGTGTCCCCTGATGACAGGTTTGTGGGTCTCTCACAGTTTGTTTAGCATCTAGATGTGTAGGTGCCTCTGCCTTCAGGAGCTATCCCCACCATCCAATCCCTATGGCACTTTCCTGTCTACATCCCTGCCTCCCCCCCCCCCGCGTTCTGTGCTTTATCTGTTCATCTTTTCCCTCCCAGCCACACAACTGGCAACTGTAGGAGATCTATGATGTTGGCCCATACTTAACAAGGTGGTCCCGACAGTCTTCCCTGTACTCCCCTCCCCCATTACCTCCAAGCATACATCACGATACGCAAGTCCTATTCCTCCTCCCTTTGGGAGATTTGTTCAAAGATTGACAGTTTCCTGCACCCAGTGGCCTGTTGGGTTGTCAGAAGTTGTCAGGGTGTCTCCAGCTCCCGGGCTTTGCCTGTTGATTAATGCAGTGCCTCAGTGGGCCTGGTGGACTCCATCTGGGTTCTGTTCCACCGTTGTGATAGAGCCCGCTCCGGCGGTTCAGGTGTCGAGCGGCAAAAGTCCAGTGGGTCATGCCATCGCATGTTGATGGGTGTCAACTGCAGGAGGTCCAAGATAGCCATCATATCGCGTTGGTGGCGTACCTGATGTGGCCCTTCTGGTGTAGCAACTGCCAGGCCTGTTGGGAAGATCCAGCGGTATGGGATTTTCTGAGAAACTAATAAGTGTATAAGAGGCTTAAGGGCTCGTCTAAACCCAGTGTAGCCAGGCAAAGGTCAGGGAGGATTTGTAGATCTCATGCGCGTTTCGGGCCACCTGTAGTATGTCCTCTTCGAGGGCGAAATGGGCAAGGCATCAGATTACGTCAGTCAGTGGGGTGTCTGGCATCTCTCTGGGTCTCAGTGCCCTGTGTGCTCGTACAAAGTCTATAGGGGTATCTTCTGCCCGGCTCAGTAGCTTGTTAAATATTCCCTTGAGTAGGCAATTGAGATGTGGAACAGAGTCTTCCCCCTCCAGTATCCCCCTTAGGCAGAGATTTTGATGCCTACCTCTGTTGTTGAGGTCCTCGATGTGTCCCCATTTGTCATAGTTCGGACATCTGGAGTTTAAGGGATAATGTACTGGCTGCCTGGGCTGCCATTAGGTTGTCATGGTCAGCCTCTACGTGCACCACACGGTCAGAGAGCCCCTGTAGGTCTGCTCGTAAGAGCTGTATATCGTTCCCAATCGAGGTGCGTAACGCCTTAGTGGTTTCCTTCAGATTCTCCTGGATGGGGAGTGCCCTTAGGAGGCTTAGCCAGTCCAGCGGTGGTGATTGAGGTTTTTTTTCTTGGCTCCGCGATCCAGAGTGTAATGTGGAGGGCTCCGAGAGTACGTAGGCCTCGGATGCTTCTTGGGAAGCTAGATCTGTCTGGGCAGTCAGGTACTGTCTTGAGGCAGACATCGTAGCTGGGCGGGTCCCTGAGGGTTTGGGGTTACACGTAGCTTTATTGTTTTCCCTGTTTTAGGGTCTGCGGCAGCTTTCTAGTGATTAGCAGCCCAGGGCTCGGAGGAGCTCAGCTTCACACGTCCATCTTGGTTGGCTGCTCGGACATGCCCCACACAAGATACATTTATATCTAGTTTTAAATTACAGCAAGTTTTAGTTTAAATATAAAATAAAACTAAATATAAATCAGTATGGGGGGTCACTATGACCCTTATATTGATAAAAGAGAGGTTAAACCCTACTTGTTGCATGCCAGATAGTCCCCCCTCTGCAATTTAGGACCCCCAGGGGCCATGTAACTGCTCTAAAAGAGCAGTCACATGGTCACAATAGGTTTCCACTGTGCTGCCAGCAGTGGGACTACATGAACATTCAGTCTTTCAAGGTAAATTTCATCTGTTGCTTTATTGAGCAATTACAAATTCACAGAACGTTCCAGTCGACGTTTCAGTCTGTAAAATACTTTTTTCAAGACCTTTTACAGACTGAAACGTTGACTGGAACGTTGTGTGAATTTGTAATTGCTCAATAAAGCAACAGATGAAATTTACCTTGAAAGACTCCTGAGTGCTCTCTCCTCGTATCGTATACAATTTGGTTGGAGACAGCACCGGAGCATTAAAAGACCGGGAGCATTGAGTGCTGGGACCTGGGACGTATATGTATATATATGTATGTATATATATATATGTGTGTGTATATATGCTATATATACATACATACATATATTATATCTATATATATGTATATATATATATATATATATATATATATCTTATATATTACATCATACTAAGTGTATTTTATTAATATATATATATATATATATATTAGTATAAAAATACAGTGAGAGTAAAATTACACACGTATATATATATATATATATATATATATAATATATATATAATAACTAAATATATATATATATATAATTTAAAAAAAATAATAATAAATGAAAAATAAAAAACTGTAAAAAAATTTAAAAAGTCACTTCATATCTATTGGTAAGTGTTTATTTAAATTATGTATACATTTGCACTGCTTATAAAGTGTAATGTTCTGATCTTGAGAAAGACCTTGTAGAGGTCAAAATGTCGATCTTTTTGAACATTTTTTGCACAATAAATTAAGTTCAAATTTCTAAATCCAGGTGCACCTTTATGATTTTTCTTTATATATTCATTGTGGGTTGCTCCCTGGTTATAGCATACAAGTAAAACTTAAGTGAAGAGTGACAAACCTACTTTTTGTATATATATGTAATTTTATTCTAACTGTATTTTGATATTAATATATAAAAAAAACACCAGAATGAAATTATATATATCTATGTATATCCCTTTAACGACCATGGACGTACTAGAAACATAGAAACATAGAATGTGACGGCAGATAAGAACCATTCGGCCCATCTAGTCTGCCCAATTTTCTAAATACTTTCATTAGTCCCTAGCCTTATCTTATAGTTAGGATAGCCTTATGCCTATCCCACGCATGCTTAAACTCCTTTACTGTGTTAACCTCTACCACTTCAGCTGGAAGGCTATTCCATGCATCCACTACCCTCTCAGTAAAGTAATACTTCCTGATATTATTTTTAAACCTTTGTCCCTCTAATTTAAGACTATGTCCTCTTGTTGTGGTAGTTTTTCTTCTTTTAAATATAGTCTCCTCCTTTACTGTGTTGATTCCCTTTATATATTTAAATGTTTCTATCATATCCCCCCTGTCTCGTCTTTCCTCCAAGCTATACATGTTAAGATCCTTTAACCTTTCCTGGTAAGTTTTATCCCGCAATCCATGAACCAGTTTAGTAGCCCTTCTCTGAACCCTCTCTAAGGTATCAATATCCTTCTGAAGATACGGTCTCCAGTACTGTGTACAATACTCCAAGTGAGGTCTCACCAGTGTTCTGTACAATGGCATGAGCACTTCCCTCTTTCTACTGCTAATACCTCTCCCTATACAACCAAGCATTCTGCTAGCATTTCCTGCTGCTCTATTACATTGTCTGCCTACCTTTAAGTCATCAGAAATAATCACCCCTAAATCCCTTTCCTCATATGTTGAGGTTAGGACTCTATCAAATATTCTGTACTCTGCCCTTGGGTTTTTACGTCCAAGATGCATTATCTTGCACTTATCCACATTAAATGTCAGTTGCCACAATTCTGACCATTTTTCTAGTTTACCTAAATCATTTGTCATTTGGCTTATCCCTCCTGGAACATCAACCCTGTTACATATCTTAGTATCATCAGCAAAAAGACATACCTTACCATCAAGACCTTCTGCAATATCACTAATAAAAATATTAAAGAGAATGGGTCCAAGTACAGATCCCTGAGGTACCCCACTGGTGACAAGTCCAAGCTTCGAATATATTCCATTAACTACAACCCTCTGTTGCCTGTCACTCAGCCACTGCCTTACCCATTCAACAATATTGAATCCAAACTTAAAGATTGCAGTTTATTGATAAGCCTTCTATGTGCAACAGTGTCAAAAGCCTTACTGAAATCTAGGTAAGCAATGTCTACTGCACCACCCTGATCTATAATTTTAGTTACCCAATCAAAAAAATCAATAAGATTAGTTTGGCATGATCTCCCTGAAGTAAACCCATGTTGTCTCTGATCTTGAAATCCATGTGTTTTTAGATGTTCATCAATCCTATCCTTTAACATGGTTTCCATCACTTTCCCCACTACTGAAGTAAGGCTTACTGGCCTATAGTTGCCCGACTCCTCCCTATTACCTTTCTTGTAAATGGGCACAACATTCGCTAACTTCCAATCTTCAGGGACTACTCCTGTTAACAATGATTGGTTAAATAAATCTGTTAATGGTTTTGCTAGTACACCACTAAGCTCTTTTAATAGCTTTGGGTGTATTCCATCAGGTCCCATTGACTTATTTGTCTTTACTTTTGACAGTTGAAATAGAACCTCTTCCTCTGTAAACTCACGTGTAATAAATGACTCATTTATTCTTTTTCTCAACTGAGGTCCCTTTCCTTCATTTTCATCTGTAAATACAGAACAAAAATATTCATTGAGGCAGTCAGCTAGACCTTTATCCTCTTCTACATACCTTCCTTCTTTTGTTTTTAATCTAACTAATCCTTGTTTTACTTTTCTTTTCTCATTTATGTATCTAAAAAATGTTTTATCCCCTTTTTTACTGACTGTGCTATTTTCTCTTCTGTGTGTGATTTGGAAGCTCTTATAACTTGCTTAGCCTCTTTCTGCCTAATCTTATAGATCATTTTGTCTCCCTCACTCTGGGTTTTTTTATAATTCCTAAATGCTAACTTTTTGTTTTTAACTATTTTGGCCACATCTGCGGAGTACCACAGTGGTTTCTTGAATTTTTTGCTTTTACTGACAAGCCTAATGCAATTTTCTGTTGCCTTCAATAGTGCAACTTTTAAATAATCCCATTTTTCTTGGACTCCATTTAAATTGCTCCAGTCTGATAATGACTCCTCTACCCATATTCTAATTTTAGAAAAGTCTGTTTTTCTAAAGTCTAAAACTTTTGTTTTTGTGTGGTGTGACTCAGTCACTGTTCTTATATTAAACCACACTGACTGATGATCACTGGATCCTAAACTTTCACCTACAGTAACATCTGATACCAAATCTCCATTTGTTAACACTAAATCTAGTATGGCCTCTTTACTAGGTTTGACAAAAGCTGCTGCAAGTAGGAGCCCCTGATTTACCTGGACCGGCGATCCATGATGATCACGGTCGGGGGGGCTGCCAAAGACCCCAGTAGTCCCCCTGCAGCAGCTCCGACCACCCCGGCCCTCCAGGGCCATGTGATCACGATGATCACATCGCTTGTTAATTCTAAGAGCTGCCAGCAGGGGCACTGTCTGAGCTGTCAGGCAGTCCCCAAGGCTGCTAAAAAGTAAAAAAAATATATATATATACATATTATACATATATTATATATGTATATTATAAAATAATTAAAGCATTTTATAATATATTATACATATATAATGCATATATATATGATTTCATTATAAGTGTACTTTGAGATATATACACATATATCTCAAAATACACTTATAATGAAATAATATATATGAATTAAATATCTATACTATATTATAAAATGCTTCAATTATAATAATTATACATATAAAGGAAATAAAAGTGTGTGTGTATATGTATATATATAAATATATATATATATATATATATATATATATATATATACACAGTGCCTTGCAAAAGTATTCACCCCCTTGACTTTTTACCTATTTTGTTACATTAAAGCCTTAAGTTCAATGTTTTATTAATCTGAATTTTATGTGATGGATCAGAGCACAATAGTCTAAGTTGGTGAAGTGCAATTAGAAAAAAATATACATAAAACTATTTTTTAGAAATAGAAAACAGAAAATTGGCATGTGTGTATGTATTCACCCCCTTTGTTATGAAGCCCATAAAAAGCTCCTGTGCAACCAATTACCTTTAGAAGTCACATAATTAGTGAAATGATGTCCACTTGTCTGCAATCTAAGTGTCCCAGAGGCTGCAACACCTAAGCAAGAGGTACCATTGACCAAACAATGCCACGAAGACCAAGGAACTCTCCAAACAAGTAAGGTACAATGTTGTTGAGAAGTACAAGTCAGGGTTAGGTTATAAAAAAAAATATCCAAATCTTTGATGATTCCCAGGAGCACCATCAAATCTATCGTAACCAAATGGAAAGAACATGGCACAACAGCAAACCTGCCAAGAGACGACTGCCCATCAAAACTCACGGACCGGGTAAGGAGGGCATTAATCAGAGAGGCAGCAGAGAGACCTAAGGTAACCCTTGAGGAGTTGCAGAGTTCCACAGCAGAGACTGGAGTATCTGTACATAGGACGACAATAAGCCGTAAGCTCCATAGAGTTGGACTTTATGGCAGAGTGGCCAGAAGAAAGCCA